TTCAAAGAGAGGCATCTAGGGTAGAAAATTCAGATAAAGGGTTAGAGAAAGAGCTAAAGAAGCATCCTCCTAAAGTTACTAATTCCATGGTTCAAGTAGGTTCAAGTATTTAAGGACGTGCAAGGAAAGGGTTAACTGCAGACTAAGTAAAGCTGGGAAATTTTACAGTGAGCACATTAGTTAAACAATGTGAAAAATCAGCAAAACTGGTTTGCTATAACAGCAGTCTCCTTGAAATAGACTCATTTACTTTTTCATTTCTTCTGCTTTCTAGTCTCTTCTCTTTGAAGCAGCTCTTGATTAGCTTCTTTTTAATTGCCATATAATTGGGAAATAAAATTAGAACACTTATTTGATACCAGTGATGAGGTTACTCTTCTCATTTCTTCTTTGATCTAGTTTTGACAAGCCAAAAACTGAAGGGAGAAATTAGGAAAAAGGGACCAAAAAGACTGCTGCTCTCCATGAGCTGGATGCAGTTATCAGTCATCAACTAAATGTGGAGCTACTCTAGGAGACTCTGAAGAATGAAACAAAAGCAAGTAAGGATAGGCTTTATGGAATCTCCTTTCAAAAAGCCCTTACTTTTCGCTTATGTTTCTTCATAAAGGAGATGAGCTCCTGATTAAGAATCCATCTTAACCTGTGCCCCTAGAGTTAGGGAGTTGTGTGGCGGGTGGAGGGAAGCAGAAGGAGGGAACATTCTTAAAGAATGTTCTTGATAAGAGGCTTACCAGCTTCTTAAAGGCAATGATGAAATTACAAAACAAATTCCAAAAGGTTCCTGGGAACAAAATAGCCTTAAAAGTTCTCTCCTGGCCCTCCCTGCTGGAGCAATAGGATAAAGCACAGCACTACAAGCGAAACACAGCCACTTCAGTGCGAGTTCCATCCCCAGCCTGCGAGGTGACCCACATGGCGCAGCAGACCTCTCCTAACCTGCCTACTGCTCCCCTCAGCAGTGTACTTGGTCAATCTGCCTGCTCTGCTCCCCACTGTGTCTCTGGTGAAGCCTCTCACTGCTCCTGTACCTCTGGCCTGTACCCCAGTTCTATATACATAAATAAATCTTAAAAAAAAAAAAAGTTATTTCCTGTTCTGAAGCACCTGATAAACGTTACTAGTGCATTAACCCTAAATTAAAATCTACTGCCAGCTGATAAGGTTCATTCTTGTTAATACTTGTTGGAAAGTTTTTCACTAAAGCAAACAAGCAAATTAAATCATAGAAGAATCATGAAGTGCAGGGGGAGTAGCATAAAGATGGTCTTAGTCTGATGGATGCTCAGGGTGACATGTCAGAAAAGTAATTGGGGGGAACTGCTACCTCTTTCCTCCACTTTTTTTTAAAGATTTTGATTTATTTTTGCATAGAAGATATAGGGTGCCAGCCAGAGGTGGGGTGTGTGAACAGATTCACCAGAGACAAAGTGGGGAGCAGAACAGGCAGATTCCATTCAGTGGACTTTATTTTTTTATTTATTTTTAAAGATTTATTTATTTATTCATACAGAACTGGGGCACAGGCCAGAGATGGGGAGGGTGAGAGGATTCACCATGAACAGAGTGGGGAGCAGAACAGGCAGATCAGCGAAGTACACTGCCCAGGGGAGCAGTGGGCGGGTCAGGAGAGGTCTGCCACGCCATGTGGTCACCTCCGGGGCAGGCGGGGATCGAACTCGTGCAGAAGTGGCTTTAGTTTCTCAGTGCAGTGCATCAACCCGCTGCACCACCAGGGAGGGCCCAGACTTTATTTTTTTTTTAAGATTTATTTATTTATTCATACAGAACTGGGGCACAGGCCAGAGATGGGGAGAGTGAGAGGATTCACCATGAACAGAGTGGGGAGCAGAACAGGCAGATCAGCGAAGTACACTGCCCAGGGGAGCAGTGGGCGGGTCAGGAGAGGTCTGCATGCCATGTGGTCACCTCCGGGGCAGGCAGGCATCGAACTCATGCTGCAGTGGCTTTAGCTTCTTAGTACTGTGCTTTAACCTGCTACGCCACCAGGGTAGGCCCTGAGTGGGCTTTTTATAAAAAGAGCTGATAGTAAGACTATAGACAGATACATAATGTATACACACACAAGTGCATGTGTGTTTATATGTATATATGAAGTTTATGCTCACTAGATATTATGGAATAAATGCATGACTAGAGAAGGCAAGAATATTACACACAAAGGACGAAAGAAATGCACACAACTTCATTTTCTTTTACTTCAGAGCGTGAACGTGGCTATTTTCACAGGTATAACGCACAATCGCACAATAAGTCCATTCTGAGAAAGGCTGAAGGGAACAAACTTAGTTTAGCCTGAGCTATAGTAACTGTTGTGTACTGTACTTCAGCATCATTAACATTAGTGGATACTCTACTTCAGTTTTTCTACCACTTCTGAAAACATTTTAAACAATATTAAGACAAGAAAAATCGGAAGCAGTCCCCCCCCCCACAAAAAAGCGGTAAGCACAACTGACGGATCCTTCTTCTACCTTTTTTTTTTTAAGATTTATTTTATTTATAAATAAATCTTAAAAAAAAAACTGGAGTGTAGGCCAGAATTATTGTGGGGGTGGGAGAGACTGGGGGGAAGGGTGAGAGGATTTACCAGAGACAGTGAGGAACAGAACTGGCCAATCCACTGAAACACACTGCTGAGGGGAGCAACAGGTGGGAGAGGAGAGATCTGCCATGCCATGTGGGTCACCTCCCTGGCTGGGAATCGAACTCGTGCTGCAGCGGCTATAGATAGCTTCATAGTGCTGAGACTCAACTCCTTGTGCCACCAGGGAGGTCCCCCTTTTTCTATTTCTGTGGGTATTCCATAAAAATTGTAATTACAGTGAGACTTACTTGGGAGAGAAGGAAGAGAGCACGTGAGAAAAAATGGAACATCCTTCCCCTGAGTGAAGAGAAGGGAAATTCTTCTAACACTGTGCTTTGAATTTTGACATTTGCCATTTATTTCCCCAGCAACCACTAAGCCCCAGGCAGGGCTAGACTAGACACAAAAGTTCTTATTGTTAGGATAAAAACTACAAAACATATACTATGTGATAAGAGTGGAGGGCAAATGGGTGAGGACAGGGAAGATTTGAAGAAAAGAGGAAGAATAGTGCACTCCAGATGTTTTTCCTCCAAGTAAAAGTTAAATAACTTCCCAAATCATAGGACTAATAAGTATCAGAACCAGGCTTTGAACCCAGCTTTGACTGACTCCAAAATCTACATTTTCCCCACTGTGACACTCAGCTTCTCCCCAAAGCTGTTTCCTTTGACAATTAATGGGAAAATGTTGACTTCATCTCAGATTCTAAGTGACAGAATTAGATTCTGTTCTCCAAGCTGGGTCCTCTATTTTTCACCTTCAAACTCATTTACACAGACTTCTAGATTCAGGATGCTAATAATTCATTTGTTCACCTAGATCATAGCTATTTGCAAAAACAACAACAAAACACCTCCAAAAGTTTTTGGGTTTTCCCATAACTAAAACAGAGCTTTCTGCCAAACTGTTTTTGCAAAGCGATTAATAGATAATGGAGGAAAAAACCAATTAAGGCGCTATAGACAGTAATGAGGAACATTTGAGCAGAATGAAAGAAAAGCAACCACACAGAGCAAAGAAAAAGCTGCACTTTCACTTCTGAAATGACTTTCAACTTCAACAATTCTCATCTAAGACAGGGAACTCTACTTAGAAAGGCTGCACTTTCCCTTCTTACTGTTCCTATTTTCTTTTTCTTAGCTCCTGTAATCTTAGGAATCTCTAAGTGCAAGATGAGGTGTTCACTACATTAGAACTATGTGCAAAATAAAAACCAGGCTTACTTTCTTTCCATCTACATTCTTGCTATTTTTAACGCTGGTGAAGAACTTAACGGTTAAAACTTTTAACTGAAGAAATCATCACAAACAGAGTTAGAAACCACTTAAGTCATTGCTTTGTTCTCTCATTTCTACAAGATAGCAGAATTTTTTTTAAAAAAGGTTTATCCAAAGACTTCAACCTTTACTTCCAGGGCTCTTGCCAAAATAAGAGGATGGCTACGAAAATCAGACAATTACAGACTCATTTAAAATAGTCTCAAGATTTTCCATTAAAAGCATATATGTAAATACAGATAAACAGGGAGAGTAAACTTCAGTTCCAGTTACTGTAACAAGGTGAAGAAAGAGGAATGATAGGGGGTGGCTTAAAAGTGAAGTTACTTGGGAAAAGAATTCACTCAATCACTGATGCATTTCTTCTTCCAGAGGAACAAATAGTTACTTGTATCAAGACTCTAATGAGTTCCAGTAGTGAATACAGAAGGAGTTGCAGTATTATAAACCCACGTCCAAACATTATTCCAAGAAACACCACTCAACTTCTTGAAGCTTGAGGAGACTTAGCAAAGTTAACAAAGATGCTGGAATTACATGTTCGGGAAACTTATGGATTATGTGGAGCAACGGAAACCATGTACACGGTATACATCAAAACCTCATACAGTAATTACGTGGAGTTTATAAGGTGAGCTTACATTTTGGGATTCTTTGGTAGTGATATTTTACAGCATAATTATGGTTTGTGTAGCCTGATTAATTTCCTTGTTGAAGATGAGCTGCAGCGATTATTCGTTTATTGCTAATCACGATGTTACACACCTCTGCGAGTTAACATCCCTTCTGCACTGAACAGCTAACAATTGGTTCGTGTGGTGCCATCTAAAACTACCGTCTCCTCGGACGCGCCTGAAGCACATGAGTAGAATATTACACAGAAGAACTTTTATATAATAAAAGTATTGAATGTCTCCCGGCCATTAATAAACTGAGCACCCACCCCTGATAAATGACAAAGACAGCAACCAATCGACAGGCAGGATCCCAAGGTCTCAGCCAATAAGAGTACGGGGGTGGGGTTACACTAAGCTCCCGGTGACTTCCCCGCACCCCCAAAGACCCAGGTTGTGGGAGACTGGACGGGAAATGGACTCCGAGGACATCGTTACCCCCGGTTGTAGCTGTTGTCCGCCTCGTTCTCGCAGTCGCTGCAGTGCTCATGGCCGTTTCCATTCCCTTCCATCATCTGCGGCAGCGGAGGTGCCGGCGACTTCACTGCTGTCTCACTCTCGTCCGCCATCTTGAGTTGCGAGAGCCGGCCTCCGAGCCTCGCTACATGGGGGCTTCCTATTGGACGAGGGAAACTTGCGCTAGAGTCTGGGTTTCGTAGTTTTTATGGCCAAAGGAGCGGCACCTAGGAGCGGCTCGTTCCCGGGAACCCGGAACAAGATGGACTACCATACCCAGAAATCATGAGGCGGGGCTGTCCGGGGCGGGGGCCAGCGCTACCCGGAAGACCGGGGCGGTTCGGCAGCGCTTTGGGAAATGAAGGACCGCAAGGTTGGTCCGGCCGACCCTCTAAGGCCCGGGCGGCCGCAGGGCATGTTGGGAATTGTAGTCCGTCGTGCTGGTTTAGGATTTTGGACGTGGGCGCTCCAAAATCCAAGGTTTAACCTCAGCCTGCCCTGACTAGTGCCCGGGCCTGCAGGTGAGCCGTTATTGGCTGCCGTTAAGGACCGTTACCATTCCCGGGTGAGTAAGAGGGCCTTGCGGCCCGCCGGTGCGACCCACTGGGGCCCCGAATGCGTCGGGCCTTCTCGGAGGGATTCTTCCTGCCAGAAGCCAGATTATCTCCTGACCGCCTTCCTTAATTCGGGACTCTGGGCGACTCGTGGTCGTCGATAGTTCAGGGCTTCAAACGAAGCGGTAGATCGTGGTGTGCAGAACTCTTTATTCTGCACTGGGGGGGGACCTCGCTGCTCAATCAGGCCTTGCCACTAATTGGTCCCCGGGTGCTCGTCTCCACTAAGCTCTCCTGCACACAGTGCCCTCCCGTTCTCCACAGAAACCCTCCACAACTACTTTTCAATAAGCATTTATACGCCAGGCACCGTAGTAAGGCTTCTCAAACACTCATTTAATCCCCTCAGCCTATAGGTGTACTTTTTCACAGTTGAGAAATGTGGCCCAGGTAGGTTAGTAAGTTGCAGTCACGTAGCTGTTAAGTGGCAACTAGCTGATAAGTGGCAACGTCAGTGTATAGATATAAAAGCCCCCGGGCCCTCCCTGGTGGAGCAGCAGATTAAAGCACAGCACTAAGAAGCTTAAGCCACTTCCGCATGAGTTCGATTCCCGCCTGCCCGCCCCAGGAGCTCCACATGGCACAGCAGACCTCTCCTGACCCGCCCGCTGCTCCCCTCAGCAGTGTACTTCTACTTTGTTGATCTGCCTTTTCTGCTCCCCACTCTGTCTCTGGTGAATCCTCTCACCCTCCGCATCTCTGGCCTGTACCCCAGTTCTGTATGAATAAATAAATCTTAAAAAAAAAAAATAGCCCCATTGACTCATACATTTACCCAAGGGAATCAATGGTTGGAAGTAATTGGGATACCTTAGATCTATTTTTAGCCTTGCCTGAATGCTTCAGCCCCTTGGGTCTCATCTCTGTGGTTGAGTAATCTCACCTTAGTCTTGAGAGTGCCCCTCAAGACTTGGTTCCCGTTCTTAGAGATTTCCCATTCCGTTTGGAATTGGTGGTTGGTGAGGGGAGGACAAATTCACATCATGGGAGAGCTCCATGTCCAAAAAGGGAAACTTTCAACGAGAAGAGGAAAAAACACTTTGCACCTGACCCAGGGAAACAACAGAACAAGACTAACTAGAATCAACTCTTCCATTTTATATCATTGCCAAGAACGAAAGTAAATATGACCCTTAACAGCAGATAACCCCCAACCATTTATATTTGATTTTGGAAGAGAGTCAAAGTCAAACTCAAGCTGAGAGCTGTCACCCACAGGCCTCTCTCCAGGGTCAAGGCTGCTGTGGACACAGTGTGGTATAGATACAGCCTCAGGACAAGGGGAGGAGATCAGATATGTGAATAACCAAAGTCTTACACATGTAAAACTGTAACTGGGTGGTCCCTAGGAGAAGGGAAGTTCCAGGTTCCCTGCCCCACCCAGAAGGAGGGTGGAACTGAGCAGAGAAAAAGACAGATGGAGAAGGAGACCTAAGGAAGCCACATGGAGCAGCAAACATGTGATGAAGAAACCGGGCTTGTTTCCTGACCCTGGACTGGTTAAGGCAGATGTGGGTGAGATACCTGTAGGGAGGTGACAATGGCAGTGTTTATATTGATTTTGATTTTGCTTTTTTCCTCTCAGATTTGTCTGGCCATTTCTGACCCTTTTCCATGGGTCCCGGCCAGAAGGTGCTTTAGTCTTGTGGCAGGCTTTCAGGCCTTGCTTTGGGCCAATCCCTTTTGGGTTGACTTTTGCCACGAGGGGATGGGTAACTTCAGGTGTTTGATTTAGAAGTTACATTCTTTGTGTTCCATATTGTATATTCACTGTATTAAAGTCACTTTTCATTAAAGCGTTATATGTTTTGTCTTGTTGCGGCGGATGGCAGAACCCACTTAGAGCAGGCAGGTTTTGAGGCCTCGGGTGCCTCTCTCTGAATTGAGGTGCCCTATAACAAAACTTTTCCAAATCTTTCACCTATTGTTCATGTAACTTTGTAAAGTAGGTTGGGAAGGGGTCTTGAAGAAAATTGCACTGAAAAAAAAAATCACCTTGATACATAGTTGCAGAGCTTGGACTGGAAACCACATGTGGTATGCTAACTCCCAGTACTGTATTTTCTTTTGTCACAGATATGCAGCGGTTGTGTAAAAGTTAATGAAACATGACTAAGGAAGAGTGGTTATAGGAATGTTTAAGACTCTCTGCCTTGTATTTTATTGCAAACTGAACAGTTTTGCTCTGCGGATGTCTTTCTGGAAGGTAGGCAGGCAGTATGACTGTCCCAACCAGGCTCAGAATGTATGTGCAAGTCCAAAGTTCTGGAATCCAGCATCCCTGCAAATTTTGGGTCAAAAGAGACGCGAGAAGCACTTATTCTTGCTCTCAGGATTTTCCAAGTTGTAGTCCTTACATTTTCTGGGATCCATGATTTTCTTATAATAAAATTAAAATGTTATATTTTTAAAAAGAAATGGAATATATGTGACACTTTTTAAAAATGACCCTTGTTACCGAATATTGCCTAAATATGTGATTTTAGTCACATTGGGACGGATTGAGCATCCAAAGTAGTGCAATGTTGTTCCCTAAACTGGGTCTAAGTTAATAAAATAACTGGCTCTTTGCTTGGGGTTCAAGAGCTCTGCTATTTCTTCTTCTCTACTGTCCCATTACAGACTTCTGCTTCTGACAGTCCTCACTGGTAGAAAGTTGGCCACATTCTGCCATATGGAGTTATGTAGCAACTCATCATTCTGTGTGCTTCTAGAGAGTTGTTACATATTCTACAGCTAATGTGTAGTTTCCTAAAATTCTTTTTTCCAAGGTGAACATTCCCAGCTTTTTGAGTGCCTCATCACACTAGAATTGCAGGATTTTCCCATTTAGCCCTGCTGGCTCTTCCTACCCACCCATTTTGGCAGCTAAGTACAGTATAGCAAGGCCAGATGGTGGCTGAGGGGTGTGCCTGTGAAGCTCTGTGGGTCCCAGAATCCACGCCTACGTCGGTACCCACATTATCCTCCCACAGCTGTTACTGGAGATAGTAGGATGTAGTGGTTAAGAAAACAGACTCCAGGGTCATACTCCCAGATTCTGAATCCTGCCTCTGCCTAGCGAGTGACCTTAGGCAAGTCACTGACCCTCTCTGAGTCTCATCTGTAAAATGAGGCAATGCTTACAAATTTTGGACAAAGATACCACCAGCACCCTGGTGGGCCTAGGGAAGAATTTCTCTCTGAAGGACTAGTGAGCTGAATTTTGATGCACGGGAAAGGGAGTTCCTCTTAAGCAGCTTCCTGTTTCTCCTAGAGCTCACCTTTAGGTGAGCTTAAGATGGCCCCTTGACACATGGGTTTGGAGCACAGGGACTCAGCCTTCTGGTTGGTGTGCCCGGCATCCTCTGCCCAGTGTCATTTCGGTAGCACCTGCTGAAGTTGAAAAACTATGGAGATGACTGGCATGGACCTGGTCAAGGTGACATGCAAATCCGTGGAGCATTAAGTGGTAACAAGTGATGAAGAGGATGTAGAGAAAGGAACCTTTGTGCACTATTGGGGGTGAAGTAAATTGGTACAGTCTCTATGGAAAACCAGCAATCGCTGCCCAGAAGCCAAGTTCAAGCTGATACTGAAGTTGGGAGAACCCAGTGTACGCCAGTATCAAAAAGGACTGACTGGGTATGATGAAATGGCCAGATAAGTAGTGAATCTGGCCACAAAAAACAAGTGATTCTTGTTTTTTCATTGCAAAACAGGGCTAAAACCTCACCTCCTTCATTTTGCAGAGTCAAACAAGGCAGTTGATGGTGGGGCCCAAACAAGATAGTGTGAGCAATAAAGCACCGATACAAAAGGTCACTCAAGTCTACGTTCCTGTCACTGCTCTTTGCTTGTAATATTTGCATACCCTAGAGATCTTGTAATATTTCCATACCCTAGGACCTTCTTGCTCACTACTCACTCACTCACTCATACATTAAGCAAGCCAAAAACTGTATTTAAAGGTCCACTTTGTGTTGCCCTCTGTATAGAGGGGAGGGAAAAACAATCTGTTCTTTGCCCTCATAGAACATAGGCTCTCCTGGGAGAAAATGGTTCCAAGCTGAACAACCACACAAACAAAAATAAAATGGCATTTGTGACTCTATCTCAGGAGGGAGTGGAGAGGACTCCCAGAAACTTTATTGGGGGATCCAGGCCTTAAGCTGCCCCTAAAACAAAGTTCAAAGTCTGTTTTCTCTAGGAAGTCTTTTCTAGCAATGCTGTCCCAGAGAGCTATGACCTGCCCTCCCCAGATTCACTACTTATCTGGCCATTTCATCATACCCAGTCAGTCCTTTTTGATACTGGAGTACACTGGGTTCTCCCAACTTCAGTATCAGCTTGAACTTGGCTTCTGGGCAGCGATTGCTGGTTTTCCATAGAGACTGTACCAATTTACTTCACCCCCAATAGTGCACAAAGGTTCCTTTCTCTACATCCTCTTCATCACTTGTTACCACTTAATGCTCCACGGATTTGCATGTCACCTTGACCAGGTCCATGCCAGTCATCTCCATAGTTTTTCAACTTCAGCAGGTGCTACCGAAATGACACTGGGCAGAGGATGCCGGGCACACCAACCAGAAGGCTGAGTCCCTGTGCTCCAAACCCATGTGTCAAGGGCCATCGAATCAAGGGGTCAGTGATTTGTTCAAAGTGTCACAGCTATTGAGTTTGGGCTCAGACTTGGTGTTTTAACACAGAATCTGGTATAATAACAAAATTACCTTACTCCTTTGCCTTTCCCCAGGGGGGGAGCACGTGGTGAGACATGTGTCTGGACCAGTGATTTGGGGGCAAGTCACAGAAGTCCTGAAGTGTCAGGCTTAGGAGCTTGGGCTTCCTGCTGATGTCACCCTATGGGAAGTGGCTCTTTTTTTCCCCTTGAGCTGTATAATAAAGGATAAATATTAATGGTATTTGTGAAGTATATTGTGAATTTAATTGCATATTAATATTTATT